CGGTGAGTCGGGGTAGTATGTTGTCATGTGTCCGCCCTCCGGGTAGCCGAGGTGCATGCGGGACTGCTCATCAGTCTCGTAGATGCCACCACCGGTAGAATTGGCCAAGTCAAAGGCAGCCTTGGTCTTTGGCGTAGCCGAAGCTAAAGCCTGGAGTGCCTCAACAGGGAGTCGGGGAATGAATTTCGAGTCTCCGAAACCCTTGTAGTTACCACAGTTCCCAAGGAATTGGGTTGCATACTCCAAGAAGTAGCGTAGATGCTCATCGCTGACATTGGTCTTCTGAGCGAGCTCGGACCAGTTTCCATCACAGGCCCGATGAAGCTCGAGAATGAGGTCGTAAATAGGCTCAGACTCCGGGGAGACCTGACGGAGGGTAATACGGGTTCCCTCAAAGGCAGCTCTACAAACACATGCATGTTAGCGGGACCCGACATGACACTGGAATACTAGCAATGCATGGGCTATAGCATTCATAACGCACCTGCTCAGATAATGGGCATATTTCCGTAGCTTCGGGTCCGTGAGGTTGTCAAAGTGAGACTTGACTTCCAAGCGAACCACGGTTGGCGGAGAGTCGGCCAGGTAGTGCTGCTTGGTCTGGGCATCCATTGTGGCGCGATGAGGGGAGTGAATTAGGGAATCGGAGGATGAAGAGAGGGGATTTGCTACAGACGAGGAAGAGCAGCGGGTGAGGTGGAGAGGAGGCAGACGATGACGGAGGGGCAGCAGGGACGAGGGGCGGTGGGGGAGGACAAAACGCTGAGCCGAGGGAAAGCGTCTCAAGGCGCCTCGAAGAGGAGGTTGCATGCCTGGAGAGCTGGTGGTGGCCGTGGGTACCCAGAATCTCCGTCACTGCTACGTCGGGTCACCGTCGGGGAAAGGAAACCTAGATTGCAGTCGAATGGAATAGTATCAATCTACTATCGGGTTGCTTGGCAACAAAAAAAAGTGGAGCCTGCACTTATCGTTTCCACGACTGTTTCTCCACCTTGTACCACCACGCTCTCCTCCCCATGCTCCATTGTCATAATCATGTGGCATGATGATGGCAGTATGCTAGATATGTCACATCCCTTCTTTAGCCCCATATGCGAGCCAACTCAGACATTAGAGAGGAAAATTGAAAACTTTTTAAGCCCATTTTGAACTACGCCTGAAACAATGGGGGAATCATGCATGATGCTGTACACACAACATAACCGGGGACTATGCTAGAGAGACAAAAGAAATAAAGGGGAGAAATAAAAGGGGAATTCCCAAAGAGTATCTGAGTCTGGTGACTATAATTCGAAAATATGCGATTGGATCCATTGTATAACCTTACCCCCGAGGTTTCACAGCAAGCTCTCGTACTTGTCGAGGCCTTGCTTTGGTGTTGCCTGCGGCGCACTGTTGTTTGAAAAAGCATTGGGGGAGGCAGTTGTACCAAATGCCGAACCTCCCGGCTTAGGTAGTCCCCCAGGACTGCCAAATGATCCAACGGTGCTGTGACCCGACGGAGGCGGAGGAATGGAAAATGCAGAGTAATTGGGGGCAGCTTGAGTGGGTTGGCTAGGCATAGGTGCCTGTGTCTTCATGTTCGCTAGCGCTCCCAGAGAAAGACCGGAAACATTAGATCTCTGGGCCGATTGCTGATTGCTCGCGGGGCTCGGTATACTCCACGATGAAGAAGGCGAAGGCTGCAGTGTAGGAAACGACGGCGTCGGGGGAGACTTGGCCCGACTGGCAGGTTCTAGGGACGGGAAAGTGTTCAAGCTATAATCCGGAGTGATCGAACGCACGCTGAGGTTGTTTTGGGCTGGGAGCATGTTCCCTTTCACACCTGGACTTGTAGTACTAGAAGACCAGGTGAAGCCCGCAGGCGATGTCGTTTGAGCAGTAGACTGCACCGCGGGAGGGCCCGAGGTGAGGCTACCCCATTGGTCAATGTCCTGGTCATTGGAGGTGGCTGCCGTTCGTCCTAGAACAAGACGCTCAAAGTTGTCTCTTGTGTTGTCCATGTTAGACTGACCCATCGAGATTGAGGCTGTTGAGGAAGACCCAGTGCCGTTCTGGAATCCTCCAGTATCTCCTCCCGACGAAAGCTCCTGGAGCTTCTTAGTCTGTTCCTTTTCGATCTTCGATGAGATATCCTTGATTAAAGTCATAAATTCCCCAAATTGACGCAGGTCAAGGAGGGGCCCAAGACTGAAGCTCCAGAGAACCGGGAGGACTTCCAGAGCAAGAAAGTCGGTGTCCGCCACTGTTTTAATTTGGCGGAAGACAGACAAAGCAGCCATCATGACAGCTGGTTCCTTGGTTTTGATGGCTTTCAACGATGGGACAAGCTTTTCTTGTATCGTGTACTTGTCTAGGATGGATGACTTCACGGACTGCGACTTGCTCGTTTGGCTTACACCCGATAGATCATCTTCGATTGCCTCCTTGCTTTCCACGGAGCCGCCACAAAGTACAGCGAACGCCTCCAGACAACGCACTTTGATAGCAAGACTGTTTGTCCGACTAAAGGTCGAAGCTATAGGCGGGAAAACTTCGTTTTTGACAGTGCTGAAGTCAAGGACCGGAAGAATAACTGGTAAGCACTTGATTGCACCATCTACCAAGGTGTGCGTGGGTGAATCGAGTCCCAGACGGATCAGGGGCAGGATGTCTGCTAAGGTTAGTTATGGCTCATTCGCGCGTCTTCGGTTTAACCGACCTTCTTTGAACTCCTTTCCGGAACAATTATCTGCCACGACGCGCATGTTTTCTAGGACGACCAAAAGACCCGCATCTCTTTTAGAGTCGCGGTCTTGGACAGCACCTTTCCCTGTCGGGAAGGCCTCTTTGAGCTGAGGTATCACTCGCTCCGGGAACGTGCGGCGTGAATTGGGAATACGCTGCAAGATTGCAAACACATTGCTCAAGATAAGAGGCAAAAGCTCACGATCCTTCAGCTCTTCCAGTAAGGCGCCCAACACCTTTCTGTCTAGCACGGAGACTGGGAACTCTGGCAGGACTCGTTGAAGTCCACGCATGAACTGCGACTTTTCATTGGCATTTTTTGCAGGTAGAGACTCTAGAAAGCGAATAGTCGAGACCAGAATATTATCGAAGTACTGGGATTGTTGAAACTCCCGCGCATTCAGACGCTGAGCAGGCCGTCTCGTTATCAGCCTGGGTAAAACGTGAGAAAGAACGTCCTTTGGGATTGGGCCTGATGATAAGAAGTTGTTGCCTTGGGAGGGAGTGCTGGATGGAGAGCTGAGAAGCTTTTTGTACGTATTCACATTGGAATGCGTTCGTAGAGGGGAGACATGGGGTGAATTATAGAGCGCCACTATGATTAGACCGAGCGAAAACAGATCCGCTGCAGGAGTGACGTTGGTATCGAGGACGAAATCGGGCGAAGTATAGTCCAGATTTAATTGCACAGATTGAGGCAGACGTGGGTCTTGGTAGAGAACCTCTGATAGTGCCAAAGGTGGGAGAGTAGAGCGCGACTCCGTAGAGCTAGCGGGGCCGGCAAATCCAAGCCCGGAGATTTTCCAATCCGATTTGGCATTGATGTAGATGGCCTCGGGGTTCAAATTGCCGTGGACAAGCCCAGCAGACTCATGAAGGAATTCGAGACCTTTGGCAACTTGCAATAAGCCTTTTTGGATCTCTAGTTCGTCGATCTCGAGGTCTCTTCGCCTGCGCGTGCCGTCAGGCTCTTCCACCATGTAACGGCTGGACCTCGAGCCATTCCTTGAAGTGGTCTCCTGCGCATCTTTTGCCTGCAGTAGTCCGGCAAGAGACGCCGTGATCTGTTCGGTAGCAAACATGAGTCCGCCATTCCGAGTCTCTTCGACGGGCTCCAGCACTTGAAGAACAGACGGATGCCGGAGCCGCGCAAGATTGCTTGCTTCCCGCTTCAGGCGTTCGACAACATCTTCTTGCAGCTTTTTGGTGGAAGAGCTGGAACGACTACCAAGTCCAGTTGATCTCGGTTCGAGAACCTTCTTGTCAAAGATGAAGATTGACGCTGTGGTTCCGGTAGATTTCTTCTTCCCATCGTGGATTTTCCAAGGACCGGAGATCACGGTGGGGTGTGGAGAGATGTGGTAGTTGGATGATATATTAGAGCTCAGGGATTTGAGAGCAGACGAAAACATTTTTGTTTGTTTCAATTCTCACCACAGAAGACACGATAAAGCTGAGATAAAAAGGGAAATCCGCCGCAATGGGCTCAGTGCTTCCAGTGTGGTCGTCGAAACACTGGAAGTATGCAATGCGGTTCCGGGGGTTGGAAGAACAGGGACACAGAAGATAGGGGAACAAATATTACAAGAAATAGTATTATATAGAAACCGAAAGAGGAAGGGGGGGGGGGCGCGTAGCTGACAATGCTAAGTTGAGTCCTCCTCAAGCGTAAACGAGGCGAATGGGTTCTTCGCTATCATACATTGCTCGGCCTCTGTTTCTCTTAAGTGTTAAATTAATATGATATCTCTCTCCCCTCTGGTAGCTTTCAGGTATCAGTTGGCCGCTGCTAATCTGCCCGGTCGGCAAGCATCACGTGCAAGGAACACTCCTTGGCCAATCAGGAATGGTGACTGGAAGGAGGGTCTTTCCCCGGACTCACCGCCTGGCTGGAACGCGGATTTACTGCCGGCAACTCGCTTCGCCGACGTCGGACTCGAAACGGAGACTGACCAGGAGAGAGCTCCTTCTGGGGTGTCTGATTCATCACCAGTCCATCGATTGGTTGGAGAGTTTGCAATATAGCCTGTACAATTGCTCATATAGGTAACCATTTACGTACTGGCGGGACGCCCAGATTCAAAGGTTCGCTTAGTGTGGTCTCCATGATTGAACCCAAATCGACCTTGTCAGACCTTAATCTCGGAGTTGGTGCCGTAGTCCGTGGGCAAGAGTCATAGACTACCGTTCTTATCCGCCTTTTAAGCTCCACAGCCCGCCCTCGGTCCTGTCGGTACATTCTTCTGGTTTATTTCCTGTCGTGGTTCTTCTCCTGCGCTTCTTTGCTGTCCTTCTTTCTGGGATTCCTATTCTTTCTTTCTGGTGTTATTACCCCCTGGATTGTTATTTAAGCCGGAAAGCAATCATGAAGTCATTTCAATTCGCTCGTCGCAGGGCGTTACAAAGCCTCGTCGCACCGCGCGCCTTTCAATCTCCCGCAACGGCTCAGTTATGGAAGAGATGCTTCAGTGCTACTTCAGCTGCTGCCTCCCAACTAGCCCCCCTTGACCCCTCGAAACTTACAGTCTCGAAGACGAATACCCCTAAGGAATTGACTGCCCCGAAGGACTTGGTCTTTGGCAAGACCTTCACCGGTATGACAAGCACGTGTCGTTTCTCAGCACGGTTCAATTTCTAATGCGCATTCCATCTTAGATCATATGCTCTCGATTGAATGGACCGCGACGGAGGGATGGCACTCTCCCCAGATTGTTCCGTATCAGAACCTCAGTCTCGACCCGTCGGCTTGTGTTTTCCACTATGCGTTCGAATGTTTTGAGGGTATGAAGGCCTACAAGGACCAGTCTGGTCAGATTCGCTTGTTTCGTCCGGACAAGAACATGGCGCGCTTGAACAAATCCTCGAAGCGCATTGCTTTGCCTTCCTTTGATGGCGAGGCCCTCACCAAGCTGATTGGAGAGTTTGTGAAGTTGGACAGCAGGTTCATTCCAAGGTTGGTGAAAAGCCCACCAATTGATAATTGAGGATAATAACTTACCTTTAAATTAATAGCGAGCGGGGTTACTCTCTGTACTTGCGGCCCACGATGATTGGAACCCAAAAGACTCTCGGTGTGGGACCCCCGGGCTCTGCTCTTCTGTTCGTGATTGCAAGCCCGGTTGGCCCGTATTACCCCACTGGCTTCAAGGCTATTTCGTTGGAGGCTACCGACTATGCTGTTAGAGCCTGGCCTGGTGGTGTTGGAGACAAGAAGCTGGGCGCCAATTACGCCCCCTGCGTCCTCCCTCAGCTGGAGGCGGCGTCCCGTGGCTTCCAGCAGAATCTGTGGCTTTTTGGAGAGGAGGAATACATTACCGAGGTCGGCACCATGAACCTTTTCGTTGCTCTGAAGAACAAGGAAACTGGCCAGAAGGAACTGATCACTGCGCCTCTGGACGGAACAATCCTTGAGGGTGTGACCAGAGACTCCGTGCTGGGGCTGGCTAGGGAAAGACTGGTGCCCAAGGGCTGGACCATCTCCGAGCGTAAGCTCAAGATGTCCGAAGTCGCCGAAGCGGCCGAGGAGGGCAGAATGATCGAAGTGTTCGGCGCTGGTACTGCAGCTATTGTGAGTCCCGTGCGGACAATCAGCTACCGGGGTAAGCTGGTCGACTGCGGCCTTAAGGAGACTGAGGAAGCAGGCGAAATTGCTCTTCAGATGAAGAACTGGATCGAGGGTATCCAGTATGGTGATGAGAGTCACCCCTGGAGGTAAGTTTAGAGCCTGCCTGTTTCCCTATGGATGTTGCAGCTTGCTAACCGACCAGTAGCTATGTCCTCTAAATCAGCGAAAAGAGGTGTTAAGGATGGAAATGGTCTTTTAAGCTTGCATTGCTAGATTTTTCTGGTATATTTTGATGATAGATGGATATCAAATGGCCGGTCTTGTTGGCATGTTTCTTACTATACGTCGATTTAGTGGTGATTGTTCTTGGCGAGCACGAGCATCACATCAAAAGAAAGGCGGGTTTTTTGTTTCTTACGTCTTGCGACCTAGCGGTGATTGGATTACCCCAGTAATCGAGGGCAAAGTTTCTGGCGTTTTCAGGAAACGGGACTGAAGGTGTCTGCCAGGTAATCCTAGACAAGACGGAAACATCATCTGCGGCCTCCTGCACGACATACACGCCCGTCCAGCAACAGAGGTCAAGGATGATGGCGATGCACGCGAGGAGCCTGCAGATAACGGGCCATGGCAGACGTAGTCAGCCGTGCCTTGGAGCGATTAGTTACTTGCAGGACGCCTGAGGCATGTCCCCTGTCTCAGTTGGTTGCGTTTCACCCCCTCGTGAGGTGCAAAGGGCAGCTGTGTTGGACATGGGCTGTGACTCGGGTGAATTTGGTTTGCTGGCACGCTCAGCCGTTTCTGTAAATAGTATCGCTACACAATGATATCCTAGCTACCATACTCTCGAGTCGTAACAATCGACACAGAATGATCGACAATTGCCAGATGCGTATCCCGCCAGACTCATTCATTATTGGATATCTCCTCATCAATGGAGTGGACGCACGCCCATGGGATCCCAGTCACGAAGACCAGTAGGGCGTGGCTGTCCGGTTTCGGCCCCGAACTACTAGGAAAGCAGTGCCCGGACACGGGATATCCAACACCTACTGGTCTGTTCATACTTTCAGGTCTCCGTGAGTCAGTGTACCCCTATGAACTGCGGAGTACCATTAAGATAGTATCAACTACGGGGCGACTTCGAGGAAGACCAACCAACCCCAGGCTACTGAACCTCATCCAGGCAACAATCACTTGCGAGCAGATCATCGAGCATTTGGCAGCAGCAGTAGGAGTCTCGTGTCCACTATGCCTTACTCTGCCGGCAGGATCCGTTCCGTCAGTCTTTCTGTCCTTTCTTTCCCGAGATGGAGCGATTCGATTCTCACAGAATGCTCCTTCCATGGCAGTTTAGCCAGTAGCGGGAGTCTATGCGAATGGATGGTGGAACCCTATCCATACCGTCATACCAACTGATTCCGGAGATGTTGATCGCCGTGACCTTGCAATACATCTAGTCCAACCGAGCAGTGTGGCAGTGTGCTAGCTCGAGAGTGGGCCATGAAGCCTACAGAATCTGAAACGACCGATGGGGCACCTTAACGACCAATGTTCTTCAACACCGGCCCAAGCAGCAGGATCGTGGTCTTGGCGAGATGTTGACTATCACTGCCTAAGGCCTACAAAGCACAAATGGGGATGGACGTATTGGCCCCATCAGTACTCTGTAGTCCATACTAGCGTGTTCTCGACACGGAGACGGACGAGCCGCAGTAAACCCCGAGCTTTTGCCACGAGGTGACAGCAATCAATCAATCAACTCTTCCTTCACAATCACCCGTGCGAAGGAAGGCAGCTGCCTGCCTACTCCCAGCTAGCAGCAGCCCGATAGAGTGAATAACCCGACCCACTACCACACAACTGAGGTCCGAAGGAGTTGACGTAACTCGGACTCACAAGGGTTCATTTAATCTACTGACCGGGCCAATTAGTCCCCAATACACTCGTACAAGAAGTCATTTGATTGATTGCTCAATGGATTGATTGCCGGAATGAGGTCGGCAGAACTATGTCCGTTCCGGACAGTCCGCGGAGTTCGGACAGCACATTCACCGTCCCCGAGACATCTGACGAAATGGGTTTCTAATGGTTCCCCAATATTCTCTCAAACAGATACTAGTCTTAGGCGGCCATAGTTACCCGTGGCTCTCGTCAACACCTTATTCTAGGATTGGAAATCACATCCTAATTATGCACAATACTACTCGCATTGAACCTCTTTGCTACCGGTTACCAATCTGGTTTGATACGGCGTTACGGAGCCTTCCAGACACTCCTGGTCCATGGTACAGACCGATACCTGTACTACCACCCTCGTCGGGCAGGCCGACAACTAGACTAATTACTAATAATTAATTACTACCAAGCAAGGTAAGGCGTCTGCGATATGTGTACGCCCATTTTGGCTGTGCACACAGCCCTCTATTACACACACAACACAACAGCTACGCACGCACTTGGATGAGGCTCTGCTGTGTTGGCTTCTGCATCACTAGTCCTGCAACCAGCCAAAACGCGAATGGAATCCACCTTAGGCACCCAGCCCGTCACAGTGGTTTGGCTACCACAAAGACATCAACAAATCGCAGCTCTGGCTGTCCGTTTTAGAATTTCCGAGTCAACGGGCAACTGCAAAGTAGCAAGCGCCCAAGGCGGCACCTGGTTTTGTCATTGTGTCGGCAATCTGCAGTATTAGGTTCATTAAACCAGGCCTGGTCAAAGTCGTTGAACAGACCTGTACCAGCTCCACTGGTGAACGTTATTGCGATTATAACTAGCCCTCTGGATTTTAAATAACCGCAGCAGTGCCCCATGCATCTGGTGGACTACTAATGGACCAAGGCTAGTACTACCTAGTGGGATCTACAGATGGTGATTGGTACCCTCGTTTATTGGTGTCACTCTCATCAACGCATGGTAGCACTAGGGATATACTCTCCCAGCAGACAAAGTCTACGAGACGACAAGCCACTGTTGCAACGATTCAGTCAATATTATTTTCAGTACACAATCAGCTTCAGCGTGTCGATCATTTAATCATCGAGTCACATCGGTGTGCTCATTTCGAGCATGAAGGGTGTGGCATGGGTCGCAAATAGTAAGCGAGCGGGCTGTAACAGACGTGCCCGGCTTATTACACCGTACACTGGCGCAAAGGGTCTGTGGGCATGGGCACCTATGAGAAAAGATTGCGATATGGAGCAGCGAGTATGAAATTGGGGGCCATTTCTGCCGTTGCTCCGTTCTGAAACTAGTCCCCTGCTAGGTTGAGGGGGCGGAAGACTAGGCGATGTTGGCCTCATGTCGCTGCCACGTTAGGATAGCAATGCATCGATTATTGCGAAAATGGGGCCAACACTATAATGTTGTGTTTGTGGAGGAACACCAAGAAGGAAGAAAAAAAAAAAAAAAGGCGCATTGTTGCGAACCTTGCCCACAGCCATTATCAGTCAAAAGATAACTTTCTATTCTTTATGTCTTCACGAAACATCATCAATATTATGATTCTGAGTGGCAGCGCCTTGAATCTGATGAAGGGGGAACAATGATGTGACTATAATGATCGTCAGATCTATAGGAAAGTCAGACAAGGTTCCTGAAAGCTTGAGGATTCCTCAGGCCAGGCATTGAGCCGTCGCATGAATGCCTCCGACCTTTTCCCACGAGGCATGCTGGCATTAATTTAGCATGGCCGATAAGGATTGCACCATCCCTCCCTTCCCGTCAAACGCCATGACCTTTGCACGTGGAGTCCCCGTACTTTGTCCAAGTGGGTTTTCGTCATCCTCCCATTCCTGGCGGCGTGCGGGGCGGCCAAGATTAACCCATGCCATCCTGTCAACCGTGACTCACGTCCACCGGGAATGAAAGTTGCGCGCGCGGAAATTAATGGCCGCTCCATCCGACATGGCCAGACGGACAGTCCAGATGCTACCCACAGAGTAGTTACTCGAAGGTCCTCTCGATGTGAATCATAGACCTGAAGCTAACTTGTTATTTCCACACTTAGCGTCCAACTACCTATTCCGAACTAAACTTCCAGTCCGACAAACATTATAAGTTCAATATACATGAAAACGACGATACGATATCCTTTCCAAGCTACTAAACCTTTCTCAGGATAATGTTCTGCACCCAAAAGGATATTGCGTTTTTTTAGAACTAACGGTCAATACTACTGCAGGCCTGGCGCACACTGCATTCCTGAATATTATTAATATCTCTGATGCCGCAGAAGCCGGCTAGTGAGACGACCGAGCAAGCAAACATACCAACCAGTTGTGCCGTCCGCCAAGGACCAGTGCTTCTAGATATGTACCAGAAGGTTCGATTCAGTATCTGGCAACCCTTGGCCGCCGCAGGCGCTCCCCCAATCCCTGTCAAAAAGTGCATCTTCATGCACTAGTAATAGGCCGTTGGCATGCAGAAATATACGAGCACTACCCTGGACCAATGATGACGCTATTTGCCCAGCTCTAGTGCACAAGGTCGGCACGCGAGGCCTGATGAAGAAAGAGGACAAAATAGCCAGGCACACCCATACGAGATATGGTTACATGTGTATGAGTCGGGTCGAGTCATGGGTTGCGATCTCTTGTATCAGATGGAGACACACATGCAGACGCAGACTCTCACAGAAAAGACACGAGCCAGGGTAAAGGAAAATTGCTTCGCCGCTTTCAGAAGCCAGACATTCCGACCGGGCAATACATGTGATATATGATTTATCGAAGGCTTAACGTACTAGTAGGCCTACTCACTACCTCTCTGCTCTTGAATCAGGCTGGGGAATTTCAGTGTTGGACCAATAAGCCATGGACCATGAACCGTAACTGCCATCAGCCCTACACATGGACAGTGATGCAGACAGGAATACTCGTTGACACCTGGCTCTGAGGCAGTGTATGTCAATCAGACTGAAATATGCAAGTGATTGAGCCTCATAGGAGGTAAAACACGGGAGCGTGCAAGTAAGGCATCCTCCCAAGGCCCAATATCCAAATACGGCAAGTAATTCGTATAGCCAATTGCAGCGGAGGAATGACACCTTGGGGCTGAAAAGCCTCTCGCCTTTTGTTGCAATGTCACTGGCCCGCTCGTGTACCAGTGGACCCAGGTGGTCCCCGCTCCGTCGTTCCCCCTCCCGGTTAGTATCCACAGGATTTCTTGGGGGTTGCCGATCTGATTTGTAATGGCATCCACTAACAGTACGCAGGGGTCCTGGTCCTTAGATTACAAACCGAATCTGGCAAGAGCCTTGACATTGGGGTCTCTTCGAATTGTGATCCTCTTCCGCAGCTACATAGCCTCCTAGCTAAATGCCTCCTTGGGGGTAGAGTCCGGAATGTTGTATGCACCAGCACCAGGTACAAGCAGGGGCCCTTGATAATGCAATAATCTCGGGGCAATGTGCATGCATCCATCTATCCCATCATGGGAGGTGAGGAGTACTGACCACTTCGCGATAAGGCTATCTATTATCCAGAAGCGCTAACGGATAACAATATTACGACTTCTTATGGCAATTGACGATAATGAAAGATAAAATAAAAACCTTAATGTTAAAAATAAAACGGAAAGGAAAAATCACCAACGAAACTAATTCAGCAACCGAAAGGCTGTATTGCGGGAACAGAGAGTCAGTCAATCAGTCAGTCAACTTCGAGGCCGGAGATTGGTAGCCTCCGAAACAAGGCTATCTTCCCCATCTCCGGACTGTCCGCAACCCGGGCTGTGCTTGATCGAAGTTTGGAAATCAAGTGATCAACTGATCTGCAAGTTTCTCTCCCTTCTCCATGTCTCATTGCGCCCAATCCAACTGCAACTTCCAAGCATCGGCAAGGTATGGACATGGACATGATGGTTGACAAAGATAGATGAAACAAACACCACACCCTCCAGAAGCAAGCCATCCAACAAATCAGCAACTGGCATTGGCTTACCTATAAGGGAAAAGGAATGTGACTTTTCAGAAAAAGTATAGCTAAGAGAGTGGATGAGCAGCGCCGCCCCCCCTTCCGTCTCTGTCCCCCTCTCCCCTCCCTTTTCCCCTCATTCCCACCACCCGTTCGGAATAGGTGAGATCTTTATCCTTAGTGTGCTGCCAAGATCGAGGGGTGCAACGTGGCAGAAGTCGAGACCGTGCACTAGAAGGGGCGCTGCTCGTGTCAATCGAGGCACACTCACCACCTTCACACACACGCACCCACCACCCTTTTCCCTCAATCCCAGTTTGTCCTCGACCTGCAGATAGACTTGACGCAGGTGGTCACTCAGTAACGAGACTAGTAGCCTGATGCCGGTGCCTCATGGTCGGCACCCAAATGGCACTTTTCCAATGATTTCCTAGCAGTTATCTAAATTCGGAAATAAGCGCGAGCGGGCGCACGCGGGCATGATTGGATGGGGCTATTTTGAGAATCATGCATTGCATAGCATGTAAGGTCAACAGAGACCGATGAGCAAAAGAAGGCAGACAACAAGACGTGATGCTCGAACATCAGGAGCTGAAGAAACTGTGCGTCTATGTGTGCATTACCGGGGCTGTGTGTGGACGTCGAAAGGATTCCTCAATGTAGTAACTAATGCGTACATTACTATTATACTAGTAACCCAGTAGATACAGTGGTTAGGTAACCGCATCTAGCACTCGTAATCAGCGTAACTCATAGATACGCGAATACGACCCGGCAGCAATTAGGGCCGAACAGTGCCGTGCCGGGCGATACGAAAGAGGTAACCGAACACTGATAGATAACTAGTAGACTAGAGGTGAGTACCACGGAGCACAGCGTACTACATGAAATAAAGTATACGGCAACAACCACGTGCTCCATCCAAATTGACCCGTTTCTGCATATGGTTCGCCCAAGACATGGTTCGAAGGAATGCCGCTTGAGGGAAGGAAGGGAAGGGATGGGGGTAGAGAAATCCAGCGGTAATCTGCACAAAAAACGTCGTTAATACGACAGCAATTATGATCTGACTTGAAGGATGGGTAACTATCTTACTAGTCTAGCTAATTGAGGATGGTGACATCGCCCGCCAATCACCCTAGACGATGGAGATTAAAACGTGCCTACTAAGACACAGGCTGCGGAAATTCCACTATTTCCATGGTTCACCCGAACCTGTCGGATTTAAGCGACAAAGACAAAAGACAAAGGCCGGAATAGTGGTGATGATGGTAGTGCTACCACGATGGTAGGTAGTATTGGAGTAGGTACCTAGCTAGTAGTAGTCACTACTATATCCTGGTTAATGGGTCTTTGGGGGCTACGGGTCTAGGATGAACCATTAGCTAATGGGTTAGTGGTTAGTTGGTTCAATCTGGGAGATATTTGATTGCCTGAGGACTACAGTAACTCTCCTTCATACACAAATCGTATGTATGTATGTATGTAATGGATCTCCGCGGATCATCGGCATGGAATACTTGAAACAGAACAACATAATTATTGAAACGCATTCATCAAGCACAAGACGTCTATAGAGTTCATGAGACAATTAAATAAATTCCTCATCTATTGAACAATCGCCCTGCCTCACATGGTGTGATGAGAAGAAGAAGGAGGGGAAAGAGGCAGAAGAAAACAGGTTGTGTAACCATACCCAACAAATCAATTAATTAATTACCCAATAAATCCATACCAATACAGTATTGATACAAGGCCACCCAACATACCACTAGATTGTAAAAGCCGCGCTTTTCATTTTCAGCCCCCTCCTGGCAGACCAGTCCAACAAACATCCTGCTTAAGCCACGCACACTCAACCCTCACACACACCTTTCCGCTCGTTTCAAAGCCCAGGGAACGAATGTAATTGGGTCACTCGGTTCGAGACTACGTTTCTTAGGCCGTCCATCGGTAGGACAAATCTCCAAGCCTAATTTCTATTTACTGAAGTTGGAAAAGCTAGTTAGCTAGATTAGGAGCCCGCCATGCTGGGCCCATTCTCCCCCACACCCACACCCACACACATACTCAATCACACTCAACATGCGAGGTTGACTTATCATCAAGGGGGGTGAGTGGGTGTGGGAATGGAAGGATGGCCATGCAGCAGCAGCAGCAGTAGTAGCTTCTTGGGGCTTTTGACCGTCTCGGTTGGCTCAATCGAACGGCTTCTCTTTTCAAGACACGCTATCCAACTAGTCCGGAAAGGGCCCGTTGTTGCATTCGTTTCGAATCCTGGACCGACAGAACTCAGCTCCTCTCGGCACTGCATGATTTGACAGGGAATATACGACCGTAGAATCTCGGGAGAATGCTGCATGATGGGGGGGAAGACATAACGCATAGCCTAGTTAGTAGACAGTTGTAGTCGTATCGTACTAATGCAAATTGATCTGTGTATTTGATGGATACTAAAAAGCGCATTGCTGTATATACTTGGATAGAGGGGAAATGTTCCTATTCTCAGGTATTCGGGCCTGTCCGGTAGCTACTTACTATCTCTGGTAGATCGATATGGAACCACATGGTCGTCGAGATTGGTGGACCAACCGGGGGAGAAGAGCAAGAGAGGGGGGAGCTGGCTGGCTTGGTCTAGCTAGCACTGCCTGATATCATGGATCCTGTTTAACCCTCCGTGGCCGCGCCCCCCTCCCACTCTCGCTTTCGCTCTCTCGGCCATATCGGTCATCGGGGTCCGCCAAAACAGCCTCACGCCTTTTCCTTCCCTCCCCCTCCCCCTTCCCTAGGATTCCCTCTAGTCCACACCGGGCATTAGTGACGCAGCCCTGCACATCCGCCAATCCATTCGGGAAAAGTTCCCTACCAACACATGGTCAAGCCATGCATACCCTGCAAGTCTCCAGCCATTCCCAATTTGATTATTACCTTTTTTCTTTTTTATTGTTCTTTTTCTCCATTCTTAATTCAATATTATCCTTTTGGGTTTGGCAAAAATAAAAATAATTATTACCCATAATAATTTAATTCGAAAAAGGAAAATGTCAATTATAATAAATTCTTCGGAGCACGGACTAACGCTGCTATCGCAACGGTTCAATCGACCATCACGGACGGGCTGCTTTCATTCGGACCCGGGGCTTAGCAGGCATAAGCTACAGACCTGTTCTCCAGCTGATCGACCCATGGCTTAGTTTTAAATACTGAACGCATCCTGTGTCTTTTCTTTTGAGTTTCAGATGTTGATCATCCTTGACTCGTGACTCTCACTTGGATTCAATATCTATATAGTCAATCCCAGATCCTCCCTCTTGCTCCTCATCTTCTTTCAACTTCATCTTCCTCTGATATCATCAGTCCAACTGCTTTCCACTTTCTACTACTGCTTGTATATCTCTGCTTCTTGTGAACAAGAGCTTTGATCTATTTATACTATCATCTCCCTCTACTATACTTCAATCCAAGATGCATCGGTCTTCCAATTACTCATATCAACAAACCTCGAGCTCGAGGAGCTCCAACCACGGCACCAGCAGCGCTTTCAGTCCTAACGCCAACCCCAATGAGGATTGGACCAAGATCTCAGACCTTGCAGAGCGTCGCCGGATACAGAATCGCATTGCTCAGAGAAACTACCGTAAGTTATCCTACTCGCCGGTTGGTTGTCTATGTTGCGATACAAATCTGACTGAATGCGATAATAGGCAAGAAGCTAAAGCGCCGCCTCGAAGATTTGGAGAAGAGAGCCGCAACTGCTTCTACATCTCCAGAACGGTCACACGAGGGTTCGGAGTCGCCGAAGGCGGTGGTGCACACTGTCAAGTCCCGCACCAAACAGGCTCGCACAACCAAGTCTAGCTCAGATGCAACCCGTCACGCCTCCGCCCAACGAGGCTCTTCCTATGACAGCCACTCCACCCAGGAAGATCGCGGATCGATGTTCTCCCAGCAATGCACTCGACAGCTCTCAGCCTCGCCGCCTCCCGTGTTCTCTTACCCCTCATACTCTCACTTGGAATCCTATGGTCACCATTCGTACGGACAGCCGCCTTCCTACCACTCTCTGAACAACCACTACAATGACCTGCCATACGGAGAGTACGGAACAACGCTGCCCTCGATCCTGCCTGGTCCGATACTCGGATCGGGCGCAAAGAAGCACCACTCGTACGCCGATGATGAGATTGTCAGCCCCTTCAGTATGAGCTATGCGTCCATGGCTGGCATTGATCTGGGTCCGACACCGCAACACCTTCCAGAGCACAACATTCCTGTACATGCCCCTCTCTCTACCTGATGCCGGTCTGTGCAAGAAGTACCAGGGTTAGCGGAGCTAATGCGGTCTTTCAGATGCCACCTTTGTCTTCAGTCTACAGCGATGATCATTCCTCCCCTTCCACCCCAGCAGAGCCTCTACTAGGTTGTCCTCTTACACCGAAGTCGGACCCGTGTTCCCCCCACTCATACTCGCTGTTCTGATTCGATGTTGTTTTTACTGAAGGCTAGCGGTGGCACTTTGTTTCTCTTTCTTCTTATTTCTTTTTCCCTTCTTATCTTTCCCCTTGATTCACCCCACTCTTGCCCGCTTTAATGACAGTTATGATGTATTATCGAGTCAAGGTTGGATGTAACCGCATGATTCACCTTTTTGTTTCCTATGTTTCTTTTGTTTGCGATTGATGATTTCGTTTCCTTTGTGAGCACCTTTCTCTTCTTCTCTTTATTATTCCTCTCCAGAGGAATATTTTTGTGGACTGCGCTCCAGAAAGGACCCCACCCCGGGTCCCGCGCATTGCTTTGAGATTCATTTGATTTGTGCAAGCCGATAGATGCATGTTTTGCGGCGTTTATGATGAAATGGAGGGGGGGGGGGG